AGGTGTTGGCAAGCCTACCCCCATTCTGGAGGCTTTAGAGGGTCTATTCCTTGACTTTTTCAGCTTTCAGTGGTTTTTGCCATTTCTAGGTTTGTCTCTTCTTCCTTCCAGTCTTCAAAGTCCGCATCTTTAAATCTCTTTGCTTCACCTTCCAACGTCCTTCTATGTGTATCCAGTCTTCTTTAGTCTCAGTTCTGTAAGAACACTTGTGATTGTGTTTATCACCCACTTAGATAATTGAGATTAATCTCTGCATCTCAAGATCCTTAACTTAATAACATCTTCAAAGACCATGTTACCATAAAAGATAACATTTATAGGTTCCAAGGGTTAGGGCCTGATATATTTGGGGGCCATCATTTAGCCTGTTATAGAGCCTTACATTTATTTTCCCAACTTCATATAGCTAATAAATGGTAAATGAATTCTAACCTGTAATGAGCACTTTGCTCTTTTCCTTCACTGTGTTAAATGAAAAAAGGGGACAAGAGATTAACTCAATTTTTTTAAAACACTTACTATATATTTTCCAGTGGTTTATTACATCCATATCTCATCTTACTTTTGTGTTAATATTTAGAGAATAATGGGAAGTATTCCTATTTTACAAATGAGGAATAAAAGGCAAATCAATTTTGACTGTGCTTCCCAAGTACTGATCCACAGAAAAATGTAATGAAGATCTCAATAGTTCAGAAATGTTTAAAAATGACATGGAAAAATGAAATGAATAATTGGTCACATTTCCACTAATTGAGCTCATCCATCCATCACTTCAATTTAAAAAATGATCACTTATTTTTAAATTGGACCCTTTGAATATTTTGGATTCTAAAATATCCTTTTTTTTAATGAAATAGTGGTGAAATATTCTTTGCTCTGTTGGTTGGCTTGTTTTAATGTCAACATTTTAGGTTGAAAATTCAGATATTTTTATTACTGCCTAATTTTACTGTTCTGTAAAGGGTCACAGTTCAGGAATTTCTATGTGCAGTAACTTACCACATTATCATAACAAGTATGTGTGACATTGTGATTCAAATGCATTTACATGTTGCTCCCACCACAAAGGAGTCCTGCTGATTACTGGGACAAGGAAATATGACACCTCTGCTTCCCTACTGCATGTTATTGTGTGTTGCTTTCATGTAAAGAGATAAGTTACCAACAGGATTTGTAGTCTGTAGTTTTGTTTTTTTGCATTGTGGCATATTATCACATTTGGTAGATGGGAGGACTTCATTGTCAAAAAGAACAGAAATAAATAATTATTCTAGTATTGTTGGTGAAGATATTTCAAAAGAGAGAGAAGTGCAATCATTTTAATAAGATGTATTTATGGCTCATCTCATTTCATAATTTACAGACCCAGCAGTGCCCCTCCCTAGGTTTCCTGTGTAATTGAATGGATGAACTGCATATTGAAGCAGTTGAATTTGTGCATGATTTCCTAATCTAACTGCACATTTCATGACTTGAATTTTCAGATTCAGGTAGTTTGCTAAGGAACTTGAATTTTTAAATAATTGAGATGATAGAAGTGGTCTTTGATTGTACTCTGTTCTCAAGTTTAAGGATATTTTGGTTTTTTTAATGCAGAAAGTAGTTCCTTTGTATAACAATCACCTATATACCTCATTACATCTCTATCAAATTATACTGCTCATCTTACATGAATAAAGAGAGTAAGAATAATAATTCACTTATATGAATAAGTGAGATCTGAAAATTCCCTTTTTTTAAGAAAATTAACTTAGGGTTGAATCTGACAAAATGTAAGAAGATCCTGTTTCCAGGCATTGTGCCATAATTAGGAAAATATGAGAACTTGTGTACTGTCTTATAGGCCACCTCTATAAAGATAAGCAATTGCTTCACACCTGGCTGTATCTTTGGGGAAAGCCATAGGGCAACTGTGCTTCCATTAAAAAGGGGAAGAAATAGATGGAGAAATATGAAGGTATGGGTTGGTATTATTTCAAGTCTAATCGAAATGTCAAAACACAAAGGGAAGAAAGGACGAAAAGAGACACAGAGACACAGAGAGATAGAGAGGAAGATAAATGAACTACAGTGGTATCAAATGTCTAATACTTTATCTCTGCTTATACCACTTAAAACAAAGATAATATTACATATCATTATTCTGATTTTTACTGATGATAAAACTGAAATCTAAAGCAGTTAAGTAATTTGTCCAAGGTCACACAGCAAGTAAGTGGAAGGCCTGAGATTTAAACCCAGGTGTTTTCTGATGTCAAAGCCCATATTCTAGCCCACTTTGTTCTGGCTTTTTCCAAGGAATGTGGGTGCTGCAAAAGTAGTCCCTTTTCAGGATGGGAATAGCAGTCTTTGGAGTTAGATAAATCATTCAGATTATTGTTTGATATTGACATGGTACAACCAGTGGAAGCATTCTTAAACAGTTTAATCCAGTTAAGCATTTTGGTTTCCTTCTCTGCCCACTGGGGAAAAGGGATAGAAAAGCAAGCAGGACAAAGTGAGTCAGAGGTCTGCTAACTTGAAACCAAATAGCTATAATGGTATTATGGGCTGAGAGTGGTGAGCCACTCTCAAATACAAATGTTAAAGTCCTAACTTCCAATAGTTCAGAATGTGACTATTTCAAGATAGGGTCTTTAAAGATGTAATAAAGGTTAAATTAGACTGTTAAAGTGGTACCTAGTCCAATGTGACTGGTGTCGTTATAAGAAGAGGAGATTATTATACAGAGAAAGAAGAAAGACCATGTGAAAACAGAGCCAAGGAGAGAAACGTCAGAAGCAAACCTGCCTTGATGTTGGACATCCAGAATCCAGAATTGTGAGAAAATACATTCTGTTGTTAACCCACCCAGTCTGAAGTTCTTTGTTATAATAGCCCTAACAAACTAAAACAAATGGTTTAATGTTATTAAACTCTCTATTAAATTTATGATTATAATAAAAGTCCATATTGATTGTAAGTTTTGAAAACACTCAAAGTTTTATAAAATAAGTAAAAATATCACCTACTACCTAATTCTACTACCAGAAATAACCATCATTACATCATTAACAAATTGATACATTTTCTCCTAGGCTCTGTCTATTTCTCAGATATGCTGGTGATATGCATTAATGAACTTTCTTTTCTGCGTTTTTTGGACTATAATGAGGGATAAAAAAGCAAAAATTAAGAAGACATTGTCTGAAAGGGTAATTCCTGTGTCCTTTGATGAGTGCCTGCTGAGCACAGCCCACTTCCTGGAGTGCCCACATTCCTATTCATCGTCTCCAGGAGTTTGGTGATCTGATGTCCAGGACTTGAAGAACCCATAATTATGAGCTGATAAGCATAATTATCAGAACTGTTAACTTATAATCCCAAGCATCAACACAAAAAATAGAAAGCAGCGTGGCTTCCTATCAAATAAATGCCATCTATATACTAGTGCATAAAAACGGCTATATTAACAGCTTGGTCTATTTATTTCCACTTTTATGAGTACTACCTGTTTTCCATAGGTATGACAATATTGCTACATATTTTTGTATTATATGCTCCTAGAATAAACACTTTCACATTACTAAATAGTATTAATAGACATGATTACAAGTATATTATCAAACTATTATATCATTAACTGATTTATTTTGTTCCATCATTGATTTAGTTTCTAATTTTTTTCTTATTAAGCAAATCATTGCAATTAACACCTCTGAGTGCAAGTTTTAATTGAAGATTATTTACTTCAAAGAGAAAATAGCTCAAAGTGAATTTACTAGATCATAAACATATCTATGAACATTTATCTGTTTTTAAAACAAGTTTCCAAAGTTACATGTGAATTTATTTTCATAACTACATTGGAAGAAAGAAAGATAGAGAGGGAGAGAGGGATTTTTTTTATGATGTTCTAGCCAAGTGTAATCATATTAATATTTTGATTTCTTGCCTAATTGGAAAATCATGCTTGGTTTAATAAGTATAGATTATTTTATTTTTTTGGTGGCATCACACCTGAAAATTACTTCTTTCATTGTACAAGTAAATGGCAAATTCTTGATCTATGAAATGACCATTAAAATAATATTAAATCATACATTCAAGCATTAGTCCTTCTTTCATATATATTCATCTCAAACTTGAGGAAAGTACAGTTTTACATTTGCATTTAGCTCTTGTTTAAGGTTACCATTTAAACAGTATTGATAAAGCAGTGTGGTAAAGAGAAAAGAACATGGAAATTGGAGTCAGAACTGTGCTTGGTAAATTACCTAACTTCTCTAGGTATCCATGTTCTTGTCTTTAAAATGATTGGCTGCCTACTGTATAGGGTTCTTGCAAGAATTAGTAATAATATTTCTAATATTTTTTAAAGTATAAAATACTGAAAAAGTTTTAAATAAAATGTTCATTTTTTCCGGTACATATTCTTTATGAAGTAAGTTAGGTATGTTGTATAAATTTCTGTGCCCAATGGGAAGGAAAGAGATAACAAAAGGACTGCAATCCCTCTTCTCCTACATGTCTGTAAACACACTAATAATAGATCTGGCAAAGCATTAATGGTATTTATTACCATGCAAGACCATCATAGAAAGCTTCTAGCATGATTTACCAGATTTGTTGAGGAATGTTCACAGTAAATAAATCTGGAATCTATGAATCTGTGAAGCATTTCTTACTTCTATAGAAAATATATATTTATTGGAGACTGCTTATATTCAATGTGTGTGTTGTGAGGATATCCTAATGAAAAGGAAGGAGTTAGATGGCTATAGGAAACCTGACTTCTCTCTGTTTGTGGCTTTTATCCTTTAATTACAGTAAAGCTGGATACTGAATAAAGTCTTTCATTCTTCTGAATCTTACTTCACAGTATATTTTTTTCCCACATAGGTAAAAGTAAGTTTTTGTGTTTTTTTTTGTATTGGTATCTTTTAATAAAAAAAATTAAAAATCAAAGAAGAAAAAAGTGTCTGGCCAGGGCTGGGATGAGATAATCACGAACACTTAAGAGGAAAGGCAGCCTCTTTTTAGAGAATTGTAAGGGTGTGAAAAGAGAGGGACAGATCATGCACAAAAGTACTTACAAATTACATACCCAACCCCCACCCCCTCAATAAAAAGAGAAGAAAAAGCCCCATCACTTAACACCAAACAGCAACATTATCAACAAACCCTTTCTCTGCTGCCCATCATGCCTTATTTCAAAGAGGCGGCCTGTGAGGAGGTGAAAAGAGCAAGGGTGAGAGGGAGGATCTGCACTTCAGTCGAGTTTCCCATTTCCATTTCTTTTACAGCAAATCTTCCGTCATCTGATGCCTGGCATCGAGCTCTGAGCCGAAACTGAGTATGTGGTAGCGGCGACCGGGGTGCCATTGTTGGCTGAGTAGCCTTGCCTCAACGTTTCAAAATATGACATCTGCACGGGTTTGTGGTACTGTAGCACTTTTATGGCATCTTCTATTTTAAACCATTCCCTCTTCCTTCCCTCCAGAGAGAACCACTTTAGTGGTTTCCTCTTGCACTGAGCCTTCCTCAGCTTCCATGTAAGAGCCTGAAGCCCAGCCGGCGTCCCCATCTCCAATGTTAACTGAGTCTTCCCAGTCCTCCAGCACTTCTGTGACAATGAGCACATAGACATACATTCTATGCTTCCTCTCCTGGTTCTCGAAAATTCCAACTAATCTTCCCAATGTCCCTTTTACTCCAGCCTCCTCACAGACTTCATGGACTGCTGCCACACTTGGTTCCTCGTCCGGCTCCATGCCTCCTCCAGAGACAATCCGTCGGTCTGGATGGCGACTACTGCTCACAAGTAGCACCTCCTCCTCACTCTCGCTGCGGAAACACAGGCATGCGGCCCATTTCTTGTAGCCGTCGCCGTCGTAGGTGCAGGTCTGGTTCGACTTGAGCTTCATCATCCTCCAGGCGCGGTGGGGGTACGGTGCGGGTCGCGGGAGTCGAGGGTGGGGAGCCCGCTCCGGCGGCCGCGTGCGTGCGCGCGCCCCCGACTCGGCAAAGGGAAGCAGGGAGGAGGAGCCGCCTCTCCTCTACACGGCTCCGCCACAGGCCCGCCATGACCGCCTCATTTCCCGCCGCCCAGGCTCCGCACTGCCGCCGCCATCACAGCTGCCGTCGCCGCTACTGCCACGGCCGCCGCCCCCTCTGTCGCTGCCACCCCCGACGACGACCGTGCCGCCATCTTGGGCGCGCTGCGTCAAAAGTAAGTTGCTTTTAACAGGCCAAGAAACTTGAAGTTTCCTTTGATATCTTCTCTCTCATCTGCTTATCTAATCAATTATCATATCCTATAAACTTTGTTCTAAATATGCCTTGAATGTGTTTGTTTCTCCCCATTCCCACTGCTGCCACTTCAGGCTAATCACCATCATCTCTTCTGTTTTCCGTAGCAACTGCCTACCCTGCCTCTCCACCCCCATTATCATCTTTATTCAACCCACTTTCCACAACTTAGATTATTTAGAGGTTTTCTACTGTTCCCCATTGCTTTTCTTCTAAAGGTCAAAATCTTTGACATTGCTTCACAATCTCCTGCCTGCCCTGACTTCACTCTCCATGAGCTCAAGGTATTGTTTCCATTTCTCAATTCTGTTGTTTTCTCCCACCACAGATCTTAACACATATTCTTTCCTAGCGTAATGTACATTTCATATGTTAAATTTCACTTCCTCCCTGAACAGCTCTTGACCCCAGGTGCTAGAAATGGAAATTTATATATAAACTTGATGCCTCTTTAATTCTTCAGATAATTTACTCAAATTGTAATTAACTAATTTGTTACTTTTAAAACTATGTGTCTAATTTCTCTGGTTTGTCTTGCCTGAGGGTTTCAGCCCATGGAAAGTTCAATATGGATTCAGTGAGACTGAGAAATGACACAGAACATTCTGTGAGTGAAAGGGTTTATACCCGGTTTATATTCACGGTGGTAGGTAGAGTCCTAGAATCAGGTCTGCATCCAGAAGTCTGCAGGTCCCTAATCCATCTCCATCTCTGCCTTCACCCAGAACACTGGGCAGAGCTCTTTATATAGTGACTCAGTCAATAATAGCTCATTACCTATGATATGAAAGCATTGGCTTAGCAGTAGGCCAATTACATCATCAAGTTGTTTAGGGCCAGGTAAGGATCCTGGCCATAGAACTTTCATTTTCCCCACAGGACCCATCTGCAGCCCAAACTTCATAAAGACCGAAATTATGTCTCCTTTGTTTACTGATGCATCCCAGTAAGAAGACAGTATCCAACAAGTAGAAAGTGCTCCAAAAAAAATAACTAAATTAGCAGCAAGTCATTCACAGGGGATGGAAGCACAATGATTAGGTGCTGTGTGTTACTACATGTTTAAGGTAGAACCTGGTTATTTCTTCTCTAATCCCTGCTTTGCTAAATATTCTATAGAAACAGCTCTATGAAACAGTTATTATGAAGGATTAAGTAAGGTGATCTATCAAGATTAACATATCGCTCCAAATACAGACAAGTCATTGAAGGATTTAGTGTTTAGTGAAAGTGTTTCTTGAGAATAAAGCAAATAAAATATATTCTATCAATAAAAGAAATACCAAGTGTTTATTATAGAGAATAGTGGGTGAATAACTTCCATAGAGATAAAAGATAAGTTACAAGCTTGGAAATAAATGTAGGACAGACATTCTAGACTTTAGATTTTAAATGGGCTGAACTTGTCAGGCAAAATATCTACATTCAAAAGAATGCTCATGTTGTTTAATCTGCCTTCAGCACAGAGCTTTTTTTAAAAAAAAATTCTGTTTCTATTCAGTATAAAGTATGTATTTCTATGTTAAGTCTTTCAGACTCAATTATCAGTATGTTAAGCAGGGAAAATCTGAACAGACTGATAAGGTGGTCATTGGGTTTCTTGTAGAAGAAGTGAATGTCTGATTGTTCTCAAAGATGCTTCTGGCTTTTAATGAGCAAGAAAGCAGAGCATAAACAGCTGTAAGCAAGACAGAAGAGATCATTCATCCAACTCTAGCTTCTATTTTATTACCAGTGTTGGGGAGGAAGAATTTCCTTTACCCTTCTTCTGGATGGTCTAAGAATTAAGTTGACATAAGACAGATTAACAGGAAAAAAAATTTAATTATGTATGTAATGAAATCCATAGACATTAGATTACCGACAGTCAGGGACATGGATTTATATATGTTATTCTGAACTAAGGAGAAAAGGCTGGGACCTGGAACTTCAAAGGGAAACGGAAGCAATTCATGGGAATATAAAAGAGTAAATATTCAATAAGGAAATGCTTTATGTGTCACCCCAGAAACAACAAAACACACAGAAGAATTTTAACAGACTTTGCCACATTCTTCCCTGTCTACCCCACCTAGTTCATATTATAATGTAGTTATGTGTGGTGATGGCTCTCTTCCTTCTTTTTATGCAATTTTGGGGGTGGGTAAATGGAGGAAGTCAAAGTTTTTTTGAGTTTTTTAGGCCTTGATTGTTTTCAGTTTTGATATAAACTCCATGCTAAAGTGGCACATCTTGGAGTGGCCTGCCCTTGTCCCTGCACCAATAAAGAAGAATGGGTCTCAGTTGCAACATACCATCTATGTTGCTAGTAGAAATGGCCCAGTGGATTGCTAGGTTGTCCTACTAAATAATAGATCTTCTAGGAATGATGGTTCAATGCTCTGATTTAGTCTTATCAATTACACTATCACTGAGTACTGGTTCTTTCCTTCAATACTTCAATAGAATGACAGTGTAGGGGCCAAGGACAGGTGGCCCCAAAAATGTTCTTTGGCATGCAGATTATTTCCAGCTGAAAACAATCAAGGCCCAAAAGGCTCAGGAAGAAACATTGACTTTCTCTTTGACTGCCTGGAGAGAATTTAGATAGGCCACCTGCTCCAGAAAGAGAGCTATCACCAGGTAATGCCACTATAGTATGAACTAGGTATGGTAGTAGGGAGGAACCTAGAAAGGCCTATCTGTTCTAAATTTTACCTATGTCCCATTGTTTCTGAAAGACCCAGCAAACAATTGTATACCAAATATTTACTCTTTTCCATATTCCTGTGAATCACTGTCCTCTGTGAAGTCCCAGGCCCCTACCCCTTCTCTGTAGTTAAGAATGACATATGTATCTCATTTTGCCTGTCAAGTCTGTGTGGATTCCTTATATATAATTGATTGTCTCCTGCCAGTCTTTTGTCCATTAGATTCTTAGACTGCCTAGGAGAACCTTGAAGTGTAGAAGAAAATTCTTTCCTCCCCAGTAGTGTATTAACCCAGCATAGGTAACATATTCAGAGGTTTAAAGCTCTATAGAGAACTTACTGGTATTAGTATTGCTATCTACTCCTTACATGGTTATAGATTCTCCATCTTGAAGAATAATTTGGGTTTATGTTTTCACAGAACAAATGGAATGTCATGATATTTATGACATGATATTTATGACATACAAGATCTAACAAAATTGTTAGAATAGGCAGAGAGTTAGACATGAGCCAGAGTAGTCAGGGGAAGACTATTGGGAAAAAGCACATAAGGGCCTCTAGCTAGGACCCCCCTCAGCAAACATCCATGCTTTGGTCAATAACATTTTGATACTATGGTTGGCATATTCTGCACAATTAGCTCATCGACTGGCCCAGGGGCATATCCTAGGTGAGACTAGGGGTGGGACAAACTAAGAACCAGAAAGCTACAATGGCATAAAAGCCCAGAGCTTTTAACTCAATGGGGCACTTGAATTTTCTTGAGCTGCCTGCTTGGACGCCTCTAAGTGTACTTTCGCTTCAACCTAATAAACTCCTTGCTGTTTCCACTCACTGCCTGGTATCTCCAGTGAATTATTTCCTTCGAGAAGACAAGGACTGGGGAACCCAAAGCACTCAACCAGGAGAAAAAATGTTGTCTCATCTGTCAGTTTCACACACCTAAACTGTGCTCCATATACTGTGTGTGTGTGTGCTTCTAGATGATGACATAATCTGTTTTACACTATTGTTTATGAAGTAGTACAAGCCAGGATAAAATCAGAGTATAATAAATGTTATAGGAAAAGAAGACTTTGTATTATGGTGGAGGGGTAAGAACAAGAAAAAGAGCAATTAGGACAGATTACGATATTTTAGAAGGCCCATGGAGTAGGAATGCAAATGTGCAAGAGCCCATAACCAGCCAGAAAAGTCTGAGTCCTTGACCACAGCTCCCCTTGAAGATTGTTATGCATTGGTTATGCATCAAGTCTGTTGTGGGGAGCACAGCTCTCTTCCAAATGCCAGCCAGGTAAAGCCTTCATAATGGCCTATGTTCAGGCTTGAAAAGTCACACATAGATTGTTTTCTCAGGAATCATACTCACCATTGCCCATCTTTGAAGATATCCCACCCTTTAATCATACCTTCTTCTTCCTCAAGACCAGGCTCTATCCTGAAGCTAAGGTCCCCACTAAGTGCAGCCTCTTTAGAACCAAAGGTACTTGTCACCCTTATCACTCAGGAAATTCCAAGGGTTTTTGGAGTGCTGTGCCAGAACCAGGGACAAAGACCAAATATCTTTCTATGATACTACACATAGAATGTTAGGACAGAAAGGGAACATTCAGATCTGCCTTCTTTCTGTACAGATGAAGAACTTGTCCAGAGAAGGGAAGGAGTATGTTGAAAGCAAAGCCTGAGTTCCAATTCTGATGTCACAGGTTATCAGTGCTGTCTTGAGAATTTTCTTTTATGTGTCTATACAGTTGCTAATATTCCTATTATTCCTGATTCATGTGTTAGTTTCCTAAATATTTCATTTGCCTTCCCAACTTACCTTTAATTCACCTTGATTATGGAAATACATTTATATTTGGCCAGCTGACTAATCCTCTTAAATAATGGTATAGACAATTAACTCCAATGATATGCTCTTCAGCTCAAATTTGACTATAGCTAATCATACTCTAGAAACAAAGTTCAA